TCATTTGAAATCTGATAAACATCTGACTAAAAGTTGCATTTAAGAAATTATATTTAAGTTTATATAATTTTATACACCTGAAGATGGTTCTTTTAGAACTGAAACATGTCGTGTAAAAAGTGATGATGTAATGGAAATCGAACATTTCGATAGAGAACATCATTTAATATATTTTAAATATTTAAATGATAATTATGGTAATATTTTAATATTTAATAGGTATTTTATTGTGATTAGACTGACAAAATTTAAACAAATAGTATCAATAAATATACAATAATATTTCTGGAGAATAACTGATTCAGATGTCACAAATCTTACGGTAGTTGGCATCCACGGAACCAACTTTACTATCACACTGTGGTGCACTGAGTTGCTAAAATGACACCTAATAACGGCAAAGTGCAGTCTACGAAGGAACACCAACTTTGCTTCGGAGCTCTGGAATTAGTCAGGCAGAAAGCACTTAGAACGCACTCCAGTACGAGACGACGCGTCTGGAATGTACCTGGGTGGATAAATGGTTATTCAAAGATTCCGTACCAATTTCACCGGTTATTTAGCACGTGATGACATCGCAGTCTGTGAACTTGAAAGGATTCGGCAGGATGCAATCACGGCCTATTTCAATGCTCTATACCGGCATTATGATAGAGGTACTGAGAAAAACCAGGAAAAACCCTGTCTGGACAGACGGTATACCAACCGTAACACACGACCTAGACGCCTAACTGGGACGATGTTTGTTAATGTAACTGTCCGGTTACGTGTGGATGTTGTAGAAACGCTAACCTGAGATATTTCGAACCAATAAAGTGAATTAAAAGGAATTAATTTTGCTGAAGTCTTTTGTATAAAGTGGATTCCGGTTAATTGGGACACATCGGGACTAGAAGACTTTGGACCAATTAAGAGGCTGTTCCGATTAACCGATGGCCCAGTTAACCGGAATCTAATGTACTAAGACTAAGTAACTCAATGGGGTAGAGAATACAGACAGTTGCTTGGCTAATCAAGAAATTCCACGCCTTTTATGGTACAGGTTTGTCCGCAAAGCCCATATACAAAGCCAAATAAATCCAGTCCCCACTATAAGATCCTATTTCTTTAAGATTTATATTAATATTATCCTCCCATCTACGACTAAACTTTGTTACACTAAAATTAAAGATTGTATATAACTAAGTAGATTGCTTACAGAACGCGAAGGTTCATCACCGAATTAACCAAAGCCCTGTCCTGGGCCAACAAAATCCAGTCTCCTTCAACTCCTGTCTCCCATAGATCCCGCCTGAGATTATCCTCCCATCTACTAATATTTCTGGAGAATAACTGATTCAGATGTCACAAATCTTACGGTAGTTGGCATCCACGGAACCAACTTTACTATCACACTGTGGTGCACTGAGTTGCTAAAATGACACCTAATAACGGCAAAGTGCAGTCTACGAAGGAACACCAACTTTGCTTCGGAGCTCTGGAATTAGTCAGGCAGAAAGCACTTAGAACGCACTCCGGTACGAGACGACGCGTCTGGAATGTACCTGGGTGGATAAATGGTTATTCAAAGATTCCGTACCAATTTCACCGGTTATTTAGCACGTGATGACATCGCAGTCTGTGAACTTGAAAGGATTCGGCAGGATACAATCACGGCCTATTTCAATGCTCTATACCGGCATTCTAATAGAGGTACTGAGAAAAACCACAAAAAACCTGTCTGGACAGACGGTATACCAACACGACCTAGACGCCTAACTGGGACTATGTTTGTTAATGTAACCGCCTGGTTGCGTGTGGATGTTGTAGAACCGCTAACCTGAGATATTTTGAACCAATAAAGTGAATTAATTTTGCTGAAGTCTTTTGTATAAAGTGGATTCCGGTTAATTGGGACACATCACCGATTTAACCAAAGCCCTCAACCGGACCCTGTCCTGGGCCAACAAAATCCAGTCTCCTTCAACTCCTATCTCCCATAGATCCCACCTGACATT